GCCAATGAGACGGACAACAGTGACAGCGAGAATGTGCACGGATGCAACAACACGTGATGATGGAAAAGAGTTTTTCGCGAATCCCGACTAGTACAAAGAGCATTTCACTTTGGCCATTAGATCGTCTACTGGCAACCTGTCATGGAATCGCATGAAATATTTTTAGTTTCATGGCACAATAGAAGCAACACGATAAACACAGGCTGTTTTGAATGGATTAGTCTTACCAAAAATTATTTTATTTTGGATGCTATGGGGAAAAAGAAGGGCGGCCTTCGCTCTTGGAGATTTGTCTTCGTGTAGTAAATACAAAGTCCTGGTAGTCGGGGCTACCAATTCCTAAGCCTTAATAAAATACCTGCTCAATTCAGTCTTATCTCTTTCGGGCTGTGATAAAGTGCTTATTGTAAACAAGGCCTTGTCAAAAAATTAATTGGTGCTTCCGCTGCCAGTCCCCAGGATTGCAGCCCCCATGTCAGCATTGTGTAGCTAACAACCGATCGCCTTTGATGCAAAACTTCCTTTCAAAATGACGCTGCGGTGGTAAAAGTTCAGCACGATTAAAATCTCAGTGCTAAAAGGAATCACACCAACTATAATGCCCATTTTATTTTGCATCATTCCCTTCATTAATGAAGGCAAACTTTGCCCTATTGGCAAAAATAATTGAAAATTTCTTGTGATTTGAATTACCTCAAATAGAGCAGAGCATCCTAAAGCCTGTTAATACCAAAAAACATGCTTCTGGAAATTACTTATGTAGGATGCACAATCGAACTTCCTTTTTGGTACACGGAAACTGTAAAAGAAAGCCATCCACTGTGGATGAATAAATATTGGAGGCGTACAAATAGAAGGATTATGCCAAAGTACCCACAAATTTGGCGACATACTCAAGCCATATTACCGTAATTTGATCCCTAAATAGACCCAAAGTGTAAATTCAAAGGACACCAAACAACTCCGACAACGTTAAGTTACCCATGTATTTTATTTAAAAGTGGGCGGTTTC